CATTATACACATGTAAACACGGTTGGTCCACATTTCAATCTGGCCAAAATAAATTTGTTAATGCAAAAAAGGCAGAAAAATATTACTGGCTAATTTGGTAGGGTTCACTTAGCCTACATGGCCACTTTTACTTTTGTCCTGAGCAATCACTTCTGTTTCTTATGTGTAGTAAACAAACGGGAAGGCAATTTTCAAAGAGCCCCACTTTTTGTTTGTTTATCTGTTATATCATCTTTTAAGAATGCTGGGCCGAAGAATCTGACCCTGTCCCTGTTTTAATATAAGGCCACCTCTATTCTCACAGTTAGTTGTAGGCTTCTCACTCGTTTTGAGAGGGCGGGTCTTTTGGCTATTCTCACCCGGTGTGCATTTAACGTGATACTCTGTGTAAACCACAGAATTCTACACTTTTTATTGAATTCTGCGGTATAAACAAACGTTCCAGCGCACATGCCCTTACAGACAGCACGTCAACATGACTTTTGTGCATTCGTTACATGTCAGCGTTTCTGGTGAAGTGCCAAAACGCACGGTTAGTTTTGTTTTCACTTCTGCAGCCGTGTGTTTACTTTCGCTTTTTTGTTTTCACAACAGTAGCCTCACTGTCACCTCCGCCGACCCATTTGTTGACGTATCATGGCGCATGGACATCTCTCTCTCTCTCTTTCTCTCTCTCTCTCTCTGTGTCTCTCTCTCTCTGTCTCTCTCTCTCTCTCTTTCTGCCTCTCTCTCAAGGTAGGGTAGCAAACGAAAAAGTCCCCCATTTTGTAACGTGTATTACTACTAAATTGTACTTCTTCTGCTTCTTCTTCTCCTCCTGCTTCTTCTTTTTTCTTCTTCTTCTTCTTCTTCTTCTTCTTCTTCTTCTTCTTCTTCTTCTTCTTCTCTTTCTCCTTCTCCTTCTCCTTCTCCTTCTCCTTCTCCTTCTCCTTCTCCTTCTCCTTCTTCTTCTTCTTCTTCTTCTTCTTCTTCTTCTTCTTCGTTGATGAGTGCTCCAAACCCGCTGTGAGAAGAGGGTCATGTCAAAGGCGTGAGACCGAAACGGAATTCCCAGAGTACCGCAAGCCTACTTAATGTATTCATGGGTCAAAGTTTCCGCCAATCGCAGCCCTGTTTACTCTCTCTCTGTAGTCGCATGTCGATTAGGCCTAGCCTACAACACGGCTTTAGCATTATTGACATAAACCATCATTGTTCTCTGACCTCTGACCTAGGTATGACAGTTCACTGGAAGCGCTTACGTTCTGTCTGTAAGGGCATGTTTCCAGCGCTCTTGTGTTGAAAGTGAAAGCGTGTAATTTTTTCTGCGGGCATTCAATTGAAAGAGAGGGGGGGAGGGGAGAGTAGCAGCCTAGATCTAGCAAGAACTTCTTGGCAAAACAAAATGGCCACCGGCGTAGTTCGGCTCGATTTGAAAAGTGAAATAGCCGTAGCATCTTTGCAGACCGCCAAATAAGATCTAGATCTAGTTTACTTAGTGCTGGGACATCATTTTTTCCTATATTTTTGTCAGTTTGATCATTCACACCGATAGACATAGGCCTATTCAGAAATTAGGAAAAACAGGTCTTGTTTCACGCTTGGTAAGAATAGCCAACACTGGCAAGTGTCAACCGGGCTGAGAATAGCTACTTCCATTTTAGAAAGGCAAAAAAAGGCTGCCTCTGCAAATTGAGGCGCTTTTTTGGTAGTTCCCACCCTCAATTATTATTCGCTGGTTTTGACCCCAAGAGTAGGGGGGTTAAAGGGGGCTTGCCCCCCTGACCTTGGCCTAATAAAAATATATGGAGGGGCATGCCCCCCTGAATTTTACCATAATTTGATGTTTTGCAGTTGTAAGGTTTGATATCTCTCGATCGCAGCGCATCAAACATATTATAGATCTAGATCTAGGCCCAAATAAGAGGGGTGGGAACTACAGAGAAAGCGCCCAAATTGATGCTCAACCATAGCCTATAGAGAGCCTTCCTTACTACTCTAAGGTATCGAATGATAAGCGTCTTCCCGCTTAATAATTGTCGGGTTTTTTTGCACATCCCTCGTTTATTTTCCAGCTTGCCACGACCGACAATTATGTGAAACATTATATCTAGATTCTAATTCTAGATTCTAGATAGATCTCTATATATTATCTGAATGAAATTTCATTTTTGTTGTTGTTGTAAATATTTTATGGCAAAATACCCTCGGTATTAGTACCGGTACTGGGTTGGCTACCTTAATTTTCTGTTCTTTTATTTACTGAAGGAGAAATAAAAAACAGATTTGTTCCTACTAGTACGGGGGTATGATGAGGTTGAATTTGCCCCCCCCCCCCCCCCCCCCAATTATTAAAATTTGGACCACTTGTCCAATCCCCCCTGTTTATTCCCCCCCCCCCCCTTTCTTTGATACCTTAGAGTAAACACTACTAGATCTAGGTTCTAAACGTACTTCACTTTCACAGGAAAATTGTAGATTCTAGTCCCATGGGGCGGAATTTATTTTTTTAAAGTGGGAGATTTGTATTATTGAATTGTTGCCTCTCTGCACACATGTTTGACCATGTTGATATTTTATTTAGGGGCAGGGCGAAGTGTTGCTGTCAGCTTACTGGAGGCATGTTCTGGCAATTTGGATCTTGCAGTCGGGATGCACATGGACAGTGGTGGTGGAGCAGGAGCAGGGCCATCAAACACACACACAGACATGTCTGGTCCCTCTGGAGCAGCTGAAAGGTACGTGCTGAGTGCTTACTTTTCCGTCTTAAACTGCTTCTTACATTTAAATTGAAGAGTGTGCACCTGCTCCTCCCTAGTGAGAAGGCATTTCCCTCTAAGGAGATAAGTTTGAACTTTGTCGTTTATCAGGTTTCATCTGGATGCTGTATATGTATAAAAATTATGTTTTTGTTCGTACATGCATTTATGTTAAGCGCCTAGAGCTGTGTTTACACGACGGGAGTGGACGCTATAGAAATTATCTTCATTATTATTGTTATTACTTCAAGGTTGAAACCTATTTAACTGATAAATATTAGCAAAAGTTTTTAAGGTTTGGGAGTTGACAGTCATTCTGAAGTAAATGGTGTATGTTATCCAGTTCTGTATAATGACCATTCTTATTTTGCTCTTCTTTAGTCAAATTATCATAAATGTGTTGATGATGTTTTTCACATCATATGCAGATCAATTGTTTGCAAATGTTAATTTGCTTTAACAAGAATATGTTATGATATAAATTTGTTCTGTTCATTTACAATTTTCCAGTGCTGATGATGCTGTGCGGGCCCCGATACCTCAAAGAACAGAAGTTTTAGTTGAAGAAGACAGTACCAAAATAGGTAAGAATTTGCTATTGTTGAGTTTTCAGGAATGATTTATTTTCCTGTAGGGGTTGAAAAAAAAAAAAGGATTCATCAATTCAGTGTCATGCTGAAACTGATAACAAGGGTAAAAGATTTAGTGTTCTGGTCTAGTTCTATTACACAGAATACTTTTTAAGAATTTATCTCCTTCAGTTTATTTACCTGGGTAGGAAAGGACTCTTGGGTCATTATTTATGAAAATGTGAATCTTATATATTTTTTTTCTTTGTGTTTGTTAGTTTGTAATAGATAGTTGACTAAAAGTATGTGTGTGATTTGTACGGTAAGCCGACACAGCTTTAATCTGCTGTTCTGTAGAGGTCTCTGTTAATAAGTCATCTCATATTTAAAAAACGATTTTTTTGCCCTCCTGGTTATTCATTATGTCTCCTTGATTTACCAATGCATTTTGCAGGGCTCTCAGACTTCCGCGAATTTCCGGGGTTCGCGGTTTGGAGAAAGTCCGGGGCTGAGATCAGCGGTCGCGGAGCATCGCGCGGTCATGTTTCCGTCGCGCTTCGCGTCTGCACGGGTTTCATGATTATCTTCTCTGAGAAAAAATTCGAAAAAATGAAGAACATAATAATAGAGCGATGTATGCCAGTTTGGCACTAACAGCCCACCTTTACTTCCTGTTCATAAATACTTCTTACTTTTCCTTTCCTGTTTTTATCAAAATCGGTTGACTTTCACAATTTATGCGAATACGTGTATCTGGCAACATTTTCTTTTCCCAAACATCCGGTCTGTGTTGGAAGGAAAGAGAGAACAACAAAGAAGCCTGGAAGATGGCGTATCACGTTCTCTCAAAGAGTGAAGAGGCCATTGTGAAAGAAATAGACAAAGATTGCAAGAATAAGTGGAAGTATCAGTGGTTAGAAGATGTTGTGAATGTGACAATCAATGGAGCTTTGTCAACCCATCCAAAAAGGTTTTCCCAATTTTCGGATCCCCTAAAGTTTCCTAAGTGCAAGAAGTAACATCAGATTCAAATGAGAAAGATGGAGGAGGTGATACTAGATCTAGATCTAGCTCGAGTCAACCTAAGCCAGTGCCGATGATTCCGTTATCAGACAGGGTAGCCTCAATGGAAGCCATGATTCTCTCTGTAATGGCTCAGCATTCAATGCCTCTGACATTTGCTCCTGTGCTTGTGGATGTAGCTAAAGCCTGCAGTACAGACCCACAGGCCCTAGCTTCCGTGCAATTAGGAGCATCTGCTGCTGCATACAAAATTAAATTTGGCCTTGTTAAGAAAGTGAAACAGAAACTTGTGCAAGATCTACAGGTCTCCCCTTTCAAGTGCATTATTGTGTTTCTGTTTTGTGCCATTGTCTGTATACCTTGTTTTGTTTGTTTACATGGATCCTTTCAGTCAGTGCTCGTTTTCGTCTTTGTTGCGTCTATCGCGATCCTCCGACAATGTTCAGGGTTGGGAAAATTTATCACTGGGAGCCCTGATTTTGTTCGAGGGGGAGTTGTATTATTTTGTTGGTACCAGTCCCCTTGATGGTCTGCCGCCATGTTTCTGCCCAAATTGATGCTCTACCACTGGACCAGTCTGACAATTGTTCTACTTAATGGCGTCGGTGGCCTAGTGGTTAGGCTTCTGGACTCGTAATCGTAAGGTTCGGGTTCAGGGGTTTGAGATGTGGGCCCAACGCTGTGTCTTTGGCAGGCACTTTACACGAATTTTCCTTACTTCACCCAGGTGGGAATGGATACCTGGCCATAGGCAGCGAAAGATCTTGTCTGTATGTTAGTGTTTTAGCGTCCATAATTGGCAACTCGCACTGTATGCTTCCCAGGAAGTTGAGTTTGTTTCAGAATGCTCTCAGGTTTGGTGGGGTAATAGTATTGATTGTGAAGTGCATAGAGCTTGCTGTTGAGTGGCGATTTGCGCTATACAAATGCTATCTAGTATTATTATTATTACTTGATGGTTTACTAGTCTACTACAGTCAACCACCCTGTCCCTAACCTTTTAACCACCATCCTGTCCCTTACCCAAACCATGAACAGTTGACACAAGACAGGTGTTGACTGGTCAGTCAGACAGACTGAAGGGGAATGGCATTCTGTTCGTGTTGTCTTCACAAGGAAATGTTTTATTGTTTCCAAAGAAGCTAAGTCTTTTTTAATCATCAGATTTTAAGTGATTCTTGAAAATTTGTTTCAGCATGGAGGATGAAGAGACCTAGACGCCATGCTGCTTCCGTTTTTGATGGCTTCAGAGATTTTCAATCAGAGGCTTGTGAGTCATTTCCGTAGTTTTGTTGTTTATTATTATTTTTTTTTGAGCTTGATAACTGGATTGTGAATTTTAAGGAGTGTGTTGTTAATAATTATTCTTTATATAGACCTGCATGTTTGCCGACAATCGTCTGAAATCCGACAATCGCGACCTGACCCGCGAGCCGGCCGATGCTATCGCTAGGCCCACCTGTATCAGTCAATGTGCGTCGTGCGGGGCCTGGCCAACTGCCAGCGCCCCCTTTTTCTCCCGTCGGCTTTGTGGGCACTTTCGTTTTCGTGCCGACCGCCGACGTCGGTGTTTCCGACATAATTGTCGGAACCTGAGTAGAAATACGAATGCGAAAAAGGACGACGACCTAAATTATCTACTTTCAGTTTCGTGCTCGAGCGGCCATTTTTAATTTCGTTTGTTTTCTGATTGTTCAGATCATGTGGATTCTTTCAAGTCCGACTCACTTGTTCTAAGATAATAAAATCGAGATCTTAGCTAGATTTATATAGATCATGTATAGACCTCAATGGAGGATTCATATTCCAATTCTATTGTGTCAAACCCTATCATAGGTTGTGCTGTAATATTGTTGGTAAAAAGCATTTCATCAGGTGCGTGAATTATTTACTATAAAGAATCTAGACTCAGCTGAGTCCCTCTGTTCGGAATCGGATGCGGATTTCTAGATCTAGATCTAGTTCAAGGCCTATTCCTATTCACTTGTTCTACAAGACCTAGATCTAGATTTATTTAGATTACTAGATCTGTATGGAGGATTCATATTCCAATTCTATTGTGTTATTGTATCAAACCCTGCTCTATTATAGCAATTTAGATGTAGGATGCTCCTTGTTTGTTTTGGAGTGTGGTTTTTTAATTTTTAACATTTTGGACTTGTTCTGGCCTTTTTACATGAGGCCCGTTGCAGGTTCTTTTTAATTTTTAAGGGTAGGGTTAGGGTTAGGTCTCTTCTTTATTGTGTTTTTTGGGGTGGTGTCGCTTGTTACTCGGAAGTCCTTCCTTATGACACCCACAAAAGCTCTCTTATGGGGGGGGGGTTGCGCAAAATTTTCAGACAATCTGGTTGAGGCTCACATGCAGGTCTATTTATATATCTTTGTTGAATGTGTAATGAAAAGTGAAACTGCTTATGACACTTACTTATCCATTGTCCTATGGTAGTATGCTTTGTCGGTATGCTTTGTCAGTAGAGGCATTGCATTTAGTCTGTTAAATCTTTCCAACTGCAAATGGCTTAGAGTTTCTGGTAGGTTTAATGCTTTTCACTTTTCCAGTTTCTATGTTTTTGTTCTCACTTCTTGATTTTTGATTGCACTGTATAACTGTAATAATTTGATTTCACACTTTTATACTTAATTTTGTTTGGTAACTTGTTTTGTGATTTGGTTTTTCAGATCATGAAGATTTGACAAGAGGAAAAAGACCATCAAAGAAAAGAAATTTGGAGGACTTATTTAGACCTCCTGTTGATATCACACACAAAGGAACTTTCCAGAATGTAAGCTTTGACTAATAACAGTTTTTGGTGAATTTGATGAGACATTGATTGGTTTGTGAGATGTTGGGTCTAGAATGTCTGCAATGTAGCCGATATTTTCTCTTTCTCTTTTTTTTAAAAATTGTAATTTAAATTGTTATTAACTTCTCTCAGACGGCAAGGTTAGGAGATATAAGTCTTTATGGGGTAGCTTCTCTGAGGGTATGGTGAAGTGGTAATAAAGGGCGGCTTCTATATGAGGGCATGGGAAGGAGTTATAAATTGTTTAAGGGTTGCTTCATTACAAGGGCTAGGGGATGGTGTAGAAAATGTTCAAGGGTGGCTGTTGTAAGCACAAGAAATAGAAGCACTGTCAATGCAGTGACTTTTAATTGTGCAATTTTTCTTTATTTTCTGGTGCTATTTTTTCTGTGTGTGAGAGCTACTTTTGACTCATAGTGCATGGACAGTTTGATAATACTCTCCTAGTGTTAGAAGTGAATGACTAGACATGACACATGACCGTTTATGTTTGCTGAATGGCAATCTTAACAAAATGGAAACACCTCTTTTACCAGGCTCGGGACACAGGCTCTGCGCAGAACAAGTGGCTTCTGGTCAATGTACAGAATGTCCAGGAGTTTCCGTGTCAGGTGCTAAATCGTGATGTCTGGAGCAGCCAAGATGTTCGCAACGTCCTCAAAGACAGTTTTGTCTTCTGGCAGGTTTGTGTGTCTTGAAATACTTTTGCAAAACTTCTTGTGTTGTTTGATACACGTTTCAGCCTTTATTGGTTGTGGGTTTTTTAGGGGGGTTTTTGGTTTCTTTTTTGACGACAGGTTTGTTTCAGTTTGTGTTCTGTCCTAGAGCTATGTCATAGAACTTTGTCGGCTTAAAGGGAAAACTTAAACCATTCTAAACAAGAAATAATAGTTTCCAAATGGTTTGTGGATTAAAAGAGCTGTATAAGATCCTTAAAGTTGTTTACTATCTATTTAAAATTGGAATTAGCTTTTCCAACAGTTTTAAAAAATAGCTTTTGCCTCATGAAGATTCTGCCGTATCTATCATTAGGTTTACAATGACAGTGAAGAAGGCAAGAGGTTTATGCAGTTTTACAAGCTGAAGGAGTGGCCCTACGTTGCCATCATTGACCCTTTCACAGGTGAGAGAAGACTTACCATTGCGTTGTGTTGTTGCTGAAAACTGTTTGATTGTCATTGCTAGGTGAGATTGTCCCATGTCTGTCTAAAGATTTATGTTTTCATATCACCTCTTTTACTTATAGATTGTTTTGGTTGAGATAAGACACTTTTATTCGGTATGACTTTAGGAAAAATATGTGTCAGCACTATTGATTTCTTTTTATCTCATGTCCCTTTTTGGGTTGTCATGTAAGTGATCTTATTCGTCAGATAAAGATTGACTATGAGGATGTAAGGAAGTACAGTTTTTATATTTTAACACTAAGATGGAACTATTATAAGAGAATGTGAATAGCAATGATTAGATTCATTTGTTACAGTTTCATTGTTAATATCTGGAGGTGGGTCACATACCGCTGTTCCACTCTCCTTGCATACTGTTAACCCTCTGCGTGCGCATCACGACCACTGGTCGTGATGACTCATACCTCCCTTCCGCGCGCATCGCAACCACCGGTCGTGATCTGACATGAGTGTAGAAACTATACCGCTGACATGATAACAGCCATTTTTTAAACTGCTGGTGACTACAGTCCACTAGCGCAACGTTTATTAGTGCCGCTGGCCGCGCATTTCACAGTCGGGGATCGGTTGGGAGTTTTTTATCGGCAATTTTCTGGGATATTGTTTACAGTTTTCAAAATGTTGGATTCGTCGGCTGATTTAGACTCAGATTTACCCAACATTTTTCAGGAATCGGACCACTTTGATAAAGAGTTAGAAGGATTAGGTCCTCAAATAAAAGATTTAGATCTACGTGTGAATGATTGGGATATCGTGTTGTAGATCTAGATCTAGATAGGTTAAGCCCAGAAGGGGACGTTGATATTCCTGCTGATCTCTCCAAGCAGGCTGGACTAAAAATGATGTGGATTTTTATACCAACAACAACAACATCATAAAAAAACACACCTGACCAGACATAAGAGTAGTTCATTGTTTAAGACACATTTTTCCTTCTTACTGTAATTAGAAATTATGATAAATAAAAAAGATATGAGCTTTTTTTATAGCCATTTTGAACATTAGCATTTTTCTAAAATAAACCTAGCACTGAAGGGAAGTAATGGTAAAAATGGCTTAGCGCTCAGAGGGTTAATTGTTTTTGTGCATGTCATCCTAGGATTTTTATTTATTTATTTTTTTTTATAGTAGAGTGTTTTACGGCGCTCGCAACTGCATAGGTCATATGAGCGCGCGGGACACACCGAATATTTTCAGTTGGTAGGAAATTTTCAATTTTGCCCAGGTGGCGGCCGAAGCCTACTCTTATCGATTTTAAACCACCAAGGGATCTTTAACGTGCGCAATTTGCACACGGGCCCTCCGAGATTTTTCGCCCTTGTCCGAGAAGGCTAGGTGTAGATCTTTCCTACCAGAAGACCAGGGGTGTGGCAGAAAGACAGCAGTGAGAAGGAGACAGGGAGTAGCAGTAGAAAGGCTGCAGAAAGAATCAGGAGCCCAGAGGAAGGGGCAAAGGAGGTGACGGGGTGAGGGCAGAAAGTGGAAACGAAAGCAGATGACAGAACATTGCTAGAGAGCATGATATGAGGTGAAAGGAGACAAATTTTGAGAAGAAAATTTTTTGGTCGCTACCCGGATTCGAACCCGGGACCTTTTGAGTGAGAGGCCAACACCTTAACCTCTAGGCCACGAGAGCCCCCATCCTAGGATTGAAAGTTGAGAAAGGAGGCAAAAAGAAAAGAAAAAAACCCCCATAAATTCAAGAGCATGATTTTCACTTTATTTTTAGTGGCCAATGCAGTGTTACAAGCAGTAGTTACATGTTGCATGTTTTGTTTTGGCATGGATTGTATAATTAATTTTGTTGATCATGATTATTTTTTTCAGGTGAAAGTCAGGTGGAGTGGCACAAAATTGCTGATGGGCCAGTTTTCTGTGATCTAGGTAAAGATGCAAATTTTAAAAAATAATTAGAAAAGTATTTATGTTTACTTCTAACTTTATTTGGAGTATTGTTTTGTCTTTTCTTTTTGACATGTGAAGGAAAATTGAGTATGTTTAAGTGAATTCGATTTAAAAAGTGTAATTATCGCACACAGTCATTTTTTTTTTCTTTTTGCCTTTCGAAATGTGAGGCACAAAACTAATAAAAATGCATTTGAACTGAAGCAATTTTATTCCAGGGTACAAAAATGGGGAAATTACGTTTGGAGAGATACACGCACTTATAAAGGAACACCCACCCCCCCCCGGACAAAATTTGCAACATAATTGTAAGAGTCATGATGTGTATGTGATTTCAGTTGGAAAGCAGATCGGAGCTTACAAATACCTAGTAATTTTTGTGATGAGGAGGGAATTTTTCACTGATTTTGTATGTCCTGAAAGTTGAAGGGAGCCATATGAAAAGAAAGCTGTAAAAAACTAATGTTTTTTTTTGTGTGTTGATTCAGGCATTGTTGTTACAACGTTCAGATAAAAAAGTGTTGGAAGTATAAAATATGCGTGATACTGGTTCAAATTCACCGTTAAAAAGTCTTTATTTGATGGTTTTAGGTTTACCTGGGTTTAAAGTTGTGTCTATTCCAGCTGGTTCTGTTAGCTACCACACAAATGCAGAGATACCAACCAGTACGATTTTATGTATTTTAGTATGATTTTTTGCCGAAAATACGCGAATACGACTTTTCATGAAAAAATACGCTTCCTGGAATGCGAAAAATAAGAGAGTCAGCTTGGGCGAGTAAACCTAATTATCTCAAGTCCCATCTTTTGTCAAAATTATAGTTTCAGTATGGCAGAACGGGAATATTTGAAAACACAAGTCCGATATGGTCAGTAAGTTCAATTTTGCCGGTCGCGATCGTGATATTATATTCGTTCAGCTATTCCCCATCCGGAGAGTACGTTTCACTTTCACGCGAATAGACAGCTATGGCGGCAGGCGGAAGCGTATGTGACACCGAGGCTCGATCTGGAAAATCAAGATCTACTTTTGCTTTTGTTACCACCGAGAAGTTTGCCAGCAGTTGTCTGATAACGCAACATTTGTGACATGCAGGTTGTGCAGTGTAAACGCAATGTCGCCGTGCAAGTAAAATGTAATGAATACTCGGACTCGTCGCTGTGCTGTCACTTGTGGAAAAGAAAAAAAAAGAAAAGAAAATACAAGCGTCGACCGTGGTCCGAGTTTTAGATTGTCTGGCTCACCATCCTGACCTGTCACTGAACTTGCGTGCATTCGCAGCAGCATAGTGTGAGTAAAGACCGTCTTTGGTGGGAGTAACTGCGAAGTATATTATGACTACGGAATAGGGGAGGAGATTATTGATTTTTGGGGGGTTTAAGATACCATCGGGGGGGTGAGGGTAAGGCAACACCAGAGGACAAAAACTTGGAAGCACATTTCAGAATTTTGATTAGAGCTTTCTGCAAAGCGCGCGTTGGTGCAGGCCGTGGTGTGCGGAATCGGGACCCCTCATACTTTGCAAGTCTGTGTTATTGAAATAAAGTGTTCGCGTTTCATTGGATGGGTGATAGTAAATTATACCTACAGTGTATGTTGTAGCTTTCTGTTCAAGACTGGCAGATTTTCAGTGTCACTGCATCTTGCCATACAACAGTTGTTACAACTCTCACAGTGCATGGGTCTACTTGAGCCATTCAAGTTATTTCTTTTCTCTGAGTTTGAGCAATAATTTGAGTCTGTCAGTTCATGACATGAATCATGACACCCAGACTGGTTCTTGATAGGAGAATTTCTTGTTCTAGGCCCTTCCGAACTCTCAAAGCAGGATTTATTTTTTATATAATAATGAGAGGAAAATATTATATAGTAGACTGAAATACTTAAGTCAAACAAGACCCCAGTACGACATTGAACACTGACATGTTGTTGACTGGATACATACATATTGTACGCGTGTGCTCCCTTTTTCAAGCTGGTGAGCTAGTAATTTTTTTTCAGGAAATATTGCCGGACACCCTGAACATTTTACTACATGTATTACTGGTTGGTCGGTCGGTCGTGGGGAATACACATTTTCCCCTGAAAATTCACATTTTCATATTTCCCAATACTCATTTCGGTTTTCTGTGGTTGGCATCTCTGCAAATGGAAATTTTATTTGGGTCTGTTTTGATTAATAAATCATTATAGTACTTCCAGCAGTGGAGTGTATAGTAAATTTTCCACAGGTAAATTACTTACAGTCTGTCATTTTATCTTGTATTCGTTTTCCTGTTTTGGGAAGTAATGTATAAAGTTTTCGTTAAAAAAATTTTTCTAAATCTGTGTGAGCAGGAGTCAGGTATGCTTATGTAAATACTGCCTGTTATTGTTCTTTCTATTGCTACTATAACTGCTTATGTAATCTCTTTCCAGCGAAATCATTTCTGTCAACTTGTCCAGTTCCTGACGCAAGCCAAGTCCCAAATGCCGCTAAGAGACAGAAGCGGGTGAGTTATTGTTATTATTACAGCATAGTTTGATTCTCAGTTCAGGAAATCAGCCTGTTTTGCCTCTTGTTGAGTTCAGATGTAATGCAATGCTTCCAGTCTTCCGTATTTTTACGGAAATCAGTACTTTCTGACAGTTCCATACTTGCTCCTCCATCATTATCAACTCCATCTGTAAAAAAGTGCGATATAGTAGGGTTACAGAAATTCCGGGACAAAGGATCCATACTTGCCATCGTATCGTCTTGTATAAGTTACGGATATTTGGCTATTCTCTCAGTGATAATTTAATATTATAGGAACCTGCGAGACCCAGGAGTTTGAGGAAATCTGTAAACTGCCCGCGGAAAAACCCGGGAAAATGCGTAAAGTCCTTGAATATTTGAGAACCTAATGTGAAAAGCTCAGTCAGTTCACTTTTGTCGGTCGTGACTGTGATGTTCATTCAGCCTGCGCGTGTTCACATCACATGCTACAGCATCGTGTGAGTGTGAGTACCGACGGTTGCCGGGATATTCAAAGTTCATTCAAGTTCGAGTGTCGGGAAGCATGACTCCGGAATGGGGGAATTGATATTTTTTTTTAAAGATGCATTCGGAGGCACTGAAGGCAACTTGATAACAGGTTTTAGAATTTTGATAGAGCTCTATGAAAAGCGTGCTTTGGTGCAGGCCTTGTGTGGAATTGAGATCCGCCTTACCTTGTAAGCCTTGTTTTTGAACTAAAGTGTTTGCCTTTCATTGGATGGGGGATAGTGATATTTAATTATTACTATAGTTTAGTTTTCTGTTCAAGATTGGCAGATTTTCAGTGTCACTGCATCTTGCATTCTCTCAGTTTTTTGCAACCGTCACACTGAATAGGTCTACTTGAGCCTTTCAAGTTATTACTCTTCTTTGAGTTTGAGCAATAATCTTGATGAAAAAGTCGGTGTTATGAGTTATTGGTATTCTCTTCAAACAGGCATCTGAAGAACTGTTTTTGATGGCTCAAAGAGAAAACCTTTTTTATTACTGGGTCAAGGTTTAAAAAAAAATTTTACTTACTTCACTCAGGTGGGAATGTGTACCCAGTCATAGACAGCGAAAGATCTTATCAGTATGTTTGTGTTTTAGCGCCTATAAATGGCTGCTTTCACTGTATGCTTCCCAATTAGTTGAGGTTGTTTCAGAATGCTCTCAGGTCTAGGTCTGGTGGGGTAATAGTATGGATTGTGAAGCGCATAGACTGAGAAGTTTGGCATTTATGGTCTACTTAAAGCTTGACCTACTTTTTTTTCTTTTTCACTTTTCTTTCTGTCTGTCTTGGCTTTATTTTTCTACTCTTAAGTGACAGTTATTAATTATGTCGTCAATGTGCTTCTCTTTGTTCAAGCGAAATTACAGATGGAGCTCTATACTTGTAGCGGATGCTGACATTTAATGATGTTTCACTCTGTTCTGTTGTGGAAAAAGTAGAGACTATTTTTAAAAATCATATTTTTTGGATGTTCACCCAGGAACCTTCAATAGTAGATGCGACGGAGCAGGAGCAGATGGAGGCTGCTATAAAGGCTTCCTTGTCAGAGAACCAGACCACACCAAGCTCCCCTCAGTACGTGCTGGACTCGGATTCTGAAGCAGATGTAGTGGAGGACTCCGACGGAGTGGAGACGTTCTCCGACACCGAGGAAGTTATAGTCACCTCCACACCCCCTGGGCCCTCCTCAAATGGGGTCCACCACCCAGCCAGTCCTGAACCTGGCCGGTCTGCATCAACGTCCTCCTCGTCACCCAGTAAAGCCCCATCTATATCTAATGGCGCTCGTTTAAAAAAGCATCCTCCTACTTCATCATCATCGTCATCGCTCAAACATCTCTCTTCGTCATCCACCGCTTCGTCATCTTCACCTTCATCGTCTCCGTGGGTAGCAGGCAACAACAATTCAACAGTGTCCCCCAGAAGTAACAGCATCAATAGCTTGTCGCGACTCTCGGCTAGTGCCAACAATTCTGAGTTTCGGATATCACATCGGGATCTGCTGGAGGCTGGAAGCAGCAGTGGTGTCGGGACAAACCCGGCGGCGGCTGTTCTGGCATCTGTAGACAATGTGGAAATCTGGGCTGGAGTCTCCCAGCCGGGTCGTGACAGCCCGCTAGAAGTGAACCTTGAGAACACTTTGATAGACATGATCGGGGGTCGGGAGGCGGAGGTGTGTACCCCAGACATTTGTACCCCTGAGGTCGTGGACAGCTCCTCTTCCAACTCGCAGTGCTCGCTCCCAGAAGCCGACGCGGCCGCAGGGCAAAACGATGTTGTCTCGGGAGAAGACTGGAAGGACCATTGGGGCGATACCTCAGGTTTGTTGAAGCAAATTTCTCTCTGTAGTCTATTGCTTCTTTCTTGTTTTTGTGTCTGTTATTTTTTACTTGCATCCTGTCCTCACCTCACCCACAGGTCGTAAAATTCTTTTATCTTTAAGAATGTATATTGATGAGGATGAGTGGTTTTGTATAATTTGTTTCTTTTGCATCAAAGATAAAAATAAATTATGTTCAATTGTGTTACTTTTAGATTCAAATCTGACTTGAATTTTTTTCTTCAGTCTTCCTGTATTCTGAATGTACTTTTTCTCGCCTGGTCTTGGCACAGTGTATCACTTTCCGCTTACATGCACTTTAAAAAAAATTCTTGTTACAATTTCTGTCCTATATATGTAGTATTTGTTTGTGCCCTTTGCCATGAAAAATTGTTTCCATGTCATGTGATATTTGTCAGCATGCATTTGTGAAATACAAAATGTTCTAATCTTCATCATTCATCCCTCGTCACCCCCAAAGCAAGATATTAAATCTCTTCAGAAGTCACTGTCCTGGGTCTTCATCTTTAGCTCATACAATGTCATTCCAAGTTTTAGCCTTTTAGGTATGGGTGGTCAGTGGGTGCTCTGGTGTGGTTTGCGCTCCTATCATCTTTATCTTTCCTCCTTTTTTGTGTTTATTACCACCTGTGTTCTTCGACACATATAATGTGACCTTTTTTATTGTGTTTCAAGTGTCGTAAAACTATTACTAAAACTAAAAGCCTTTAACTTTAAAGGCTGTTGTGCATCATGTGTTCCTGGTACAACCTCTTCTCCTTTCTTTTGCATGTCCCCTTCAGGGCCTATCTTATGATATTTCTGGGGTTCTTACAGAATATGTGCAGTGTAATCCACTTCCAATGTTTCTTTCTAATCTCAACTCTTAACCCTTTGAGCCCTTGACCGGTACACCGGTGGCATGTAAAACTGTACATATGCCTAGTCACTGGTACACTGAATTGGTAATGATGAAGACTACCCTGAGTGTATATGGATGCAATTCTGACTATCATATGAATGTTTGTTTGCTCAGGAGCTCAGGTAGAGGTCAGGGCTCTAGGGTTAATGGTTTTTAGGTTTTGTTGAGTTGGCTTGCAGTCTTACTGATCTTTGCCTTTTTGCTATGAAAGGTAGACGGGCCGTAAGTTATGGCCACCAGAATGTGTACTGTGACCCTTCACTTCAATGGTTTGAAACAAAATGGACTTCTCTCGTCGTATGTTTTATCAAAAGAAGCCGGACTTGCTAAGCTCTTTCTTTCCTATCAAACATCTTTCTGCTCCCTGTTTTTTTTGTTTTTTTTGTTTTTTTGTTTGTGACTCTCTTGCAATACCTCTGATCTTCTCAGCGCTTATATGACTATTGTGTTGCAAGTGCCATAAAATTCTTGTCTTATGCTGAAACAGTGAACATGATGTGTTGCAGATAAAGTGACTCAAGGTGTTCAAAGAATTAACCGACACAGGCTTTTATTTTATTATTACAGATCCCATGAGTCGACTGATGCTCAGATTTCCAGAGAACAAAAGGGAACAAGTAGAACTGCCTTGTTCCTCTTCTTTAAAAGTGAGTGTATTTTTCACTAAAGTGGGTGTTTTTTTTTGACAAGGCTATATAACAGGAACACAGCTATAATAATCAATGTAATTGTTTATGCTAAGTAACCAGTGACTAGGAGACCCTTCCCCCTCCCAAAAATAAAATAAAATCAATAACCATTATCTGTGGGGTATTGGTGTTGCCATTCTTTAGGTAGGGGAAGGGGTTGGAGGGGGTAGGTACAGCATAAAGTCTTGCTTTTTATTATTTCCTCTAAGGGTCTTTTTTGTGGATTGGTATCTGAACTATAAGGTTTTGTTGTGTTGATTGTGGAATGTCATTCATGACAGAGGGAGGGCTGTGATGATCATGCTGGTTATCTCTAAAATATGATGATAGTCCTTTTTTATTCTTGGGCTTGAATGTGTGGGTGGTTGGCAGGTGCTATGGTGCGGTTTACTCTTTCTTTCCTATCAAACACTTTTTTTGGGGTTTATTACTCTCTTGTTACACCTCTAATCTGCTGTACTTACATGACCTAGCTTAGTTGTGTTTCAAATGCCTTTGCAAAACTCTTTAAAAAAATCAAAACAACCTAAGGGTTTGTGCTGATTGTTGATTGTTTCCCTTCAGGCCCTGGTTGTCCTGTGCACGTCCAAAGGCTTCCCTCCGGACAAGTACGAGCTGGTCACCACGTTCCCGAGGAGGAAACTGTCACAGCTGGGGAGCAGCACCACGTTACAGGAGGCAGGTCTACATCAGCAGGAGACCATCTTTGTGCAGGATCTGTAGGTGCCAGATTGGAGTTGTGGGTCTGTGAGTGTGTGTGAGTGACTGTGTATATATGTGTGTGCGTACATATGACTGATTTGTGAAATTGTTATGAAGACTTTTTATAATCCAAGACTCTGTGTGTGTTTGTGTTTATGTGTGTGTGTCTGCATGCGTGCGCATATTTGATCTGTGAAATTATTGCAGAGACTTTGTAGTCCAAGACTGTTTAATCCCAGAAATTGTATTTCTCCAAAATGTTTCTGGATTAGGGATTTATATTTATTGGCAAGAGGAAAAATTAAGTTCTCCAAATATGTGTATATCTATACGAAGGCAACAATAGAAAAATCAGTGTTTCTAGTTTTCCACAAATTTGCAAATATCCTCAAGTTTCCGCGAAAATTCATGCTGAAAGATTTGTAAAAAATAAGAAATAAAAATTTTCTGTAATTACTAATAGTCAACAATAGCCAACTCATACCGGAGGCGCTCTTTTATGTGACGTTCACTTCTAAAACACAAGCAGAGAACCAACACTGTAAACGAGAGGAAGAAATATGGTTCAATAGACCTTTGGCCAGCCAAGAAACGTTTATAAAAAAATTATTTGTAAATATTTTTGTGGATTTAAGTTGAACATAAATAAGTTATTACTGGGTGTCCAGCAAAGTCGGAAATTCGGCGCCCTGGTCGTAAATGGTAGTAAATGCGTCTTGAATTTAGTAAACATTTGATAAAGTCGTAAATTAACCTGCATACTGAGTGATGAAGCCAGCAAGACTTCATTGAACCCTAGCCGCGGTACATGACCCTGTTTTTGCTGGTTGCGATTGTGATATAATATTCATTCACCTTTTCCCTGTCCGAGAGTACGTTTCACGCAAAAAGGCGGCTATGGCGGCAGGCAAAAGTGTGTGTGACACCGAGGCTCGATCGGGAAAATCAAGATCAACTTTCGCTTTCAGAAATTTGCTGGCGACGGACTGATAATAGATAACTAACGCAACATTTGTGACATGCAGGTTGGGCAGTATAGATATATATTCAAACGCTTGATTTGCTGGGTAGTAAATTTTTTTTCGCAGGTAGTACATTTTTTCAGTAAATATTGCTGGACACCCTGTATTTAGATCTAGCTGTTATACTATTATGGGTGTGCTGTACAATAACTACAGGTAAGAGAGACCAGTATGGCCTTGGATTACTGGGATTCTACTCATTATTGTGCAAACCAACATAAGCAGGAAAAAGTTGAACATTAAATGTCAAATTATATAGATCTAGCTTTTATACTACTATTATGGATGTGCAGTACTGGTACAAGGGAGAAAACATGGCTTTGGATTTATATTGATCAGCACAAGCAGAAAATTATGTTTGAAAGGTTTTTTTTAAAACCACTTATTTCCTTGTTAAACTTAAGCTTAAATAGCTAGAAATGGCATATTTTGGGTGCCCTGAAACAAAAAAATCTCAAACGTGAGGGGGACCATCGCCCTGAACCCGAAAATCCTCAAAATATGACATTAGCTGCTGGAAGCTCTGAAAAATGATCAAAGTCGCATATTTCTCATACTGAGAAAAAAGAAATTTGAAGTTTGATACCCCCCCAAAAAGCCCAGCATGAATAGCTGTGAACTTCAATTCTACTGCCTTCATCAATTTTGGAACAATTTTGCAAATGAAAAATTGATATCCAAAAGTAAATAATTAATAAGTTATATCATAAGAGATAATTTTTTAATTTGCATGCATGATAGCAAACAATAGATCTAGATCTACAAAATTATTTGTGTGGGAGGCTGCAAAAATGATGCACATGTGTTTAAAAATATAAATTGAGATAGCTTTTCTGAACATTTTGGTTTTTTTTTTTAAAGGTTCTATCTATCCGGGTTTTTGAGTTACGGTCAATTTGGTAGCGTTGGGTAAGAAAACGGCGAAAGGAGAAAATCAGGTTTAAAGATAGCAAATGGGTAAAAACAAACATTAACAGATGAAAATAGACAAAACAATCTGCATACATGCACAGAGAGCTAAGCAAAATACTTATAGACAAAAACAATTTATTTCCCAACCTTTACAGCTGTTTTTTGTGTGTATGTATCCACTGGGCTGCCCTCCAGGCCTTATTGCTGGTTGGCTCCCCGGCCTCGGCCACCAGCATTACCACGGCCCTTGGTTCCTCGACCCCGCCCTGTTGTTGTTTTGGTCACTTTTGCTGGAGGTACTGGTTCCTCCTCATTGTCAGAGTCACTGGGAATTTCTGCAGGCAAAATTAAAGGCTCGGGGGTAACTATATCTTGGCAGTGAGGGGCAACGAAGGGGCGGATCTCTTTATACAGGTACTGCTGGCGTTTAATGCTGAGCCCAGGTGACGGGATGATTTTAGGAAGGATGTTGGGTGGAGGTACAGCTTTCTTTTCCGGGATCTGCACAGCTTCTGGTGCATTGCTATGCTCCTTGACTGTAATGGATCCAGTGTTGTCAAACTGGAACTGCTGGAAGGAGTTGATGGTCTTGACTTTGCTGAAATAGGGAGCTAAGAATCCTGTCCAGTCGTTGGTCGGGATCTGTGACGCTCCATTTTCCTGGCCCACAAAAACTGCCTCATTCATTTTGGATGAGCCGTCCACCACTTTTACCAGGTCCTGCAGGCAGTCCCCTCTGGTGACCTTAAGCTTTCTTTTAATCAAGCCAAATCCTCCATCCGGGCTAAATTTGGTATGTCCTGCTATTAGAAAACTATGGCGGATTTTTGTTGTTGCGGTTTGTGGCACACCGCCACATGAGGTACCATACCATAGCAGAATTTTTATTCTGGCCACAGCAGTTATCTGCATGTAGCAAAAGCTCCGCCTCTCCAAGGCTATAGTTTTCTAAATAGAAATGGAGGTACGAAATAACAGTGTTGGCTCCTTTCCCGGTGTTGTGGCCTTCATCGATAAGAATATTCATCTGGCGACCAAGAGCCTCATTGTTTAGTCCAAACAGACCACACTTCAGATGAGTTTTGAAATAAATCGGGCCAGATAGGGGTGAGGGCCAGGCTGTCTGTCGGCGGGGAGGCGTTTCTTGACCTCCGCACAACAATGCTGGTAGAATGCCCGCTCATTTTGAACAACCTCCTGGTGGGCATGTAACTCTCTGTAGAGGCGTTGTTTCTCCCCGTTGTTGTTTGCCTTGTGCTGAATGGCCCGCATGCCTTTCTGGCAGGTCCAGCACAGATCGGTGGCCGGGGGGCACACAGCGCTGACCCGATTCAGTGCATGCAGCCTCATACAGTTCGTATACATGTGCCTTGGTGCAGCTGGTGGGTTGGGCAGAAGCTTGGCGTTGGTGATCCAGTAGCGAGGTGTTCTAGCTGGATGCCATGGATTTCAGAATAGTTCACAATAAACTCCAGGACCCTCCGAATGTGATCGTACTTTGCGGTATTGTGTGGCAAACGTTTAGTGCTTTTGTGTACTCGGGCTTCCACACTACTGACTTTGTAGTACTTAATCAAACCTGTCAGTTTTCCCTGACCAATGCCAAACACGTAGCAAAAAAACTCTCTACAAATACGACGACCATGTAGATAGTCCGTTCGAGAAGCCTTTCTTTCTGACTGATCAGGTCTCTTAGACTTGCGGGTGATTGGGTCTAAGTGTATACCGTCCTCTATTTTGGACAAAAGGGCAATATCTTGCTCCTGGCTTGTCATAGCTTGATGTCGAGTCCTTATGTCCCATATTACGTCATCATCTAAGTTCTCATAACATGGAGTTGTTTTACAGTCACAAGGGTACACTTGTGGTGTAGACGATGAGGGAGGGGCAGAAGTAGCAAGTTGGTCGGTGTCAGTTGTCGTTGATGCTGATTGATCACTGGGTGGATGTGTAGGTGTGCTTCCACGAACAAGAGGGACTATCCTGTCTGCGAGATGAACGTCACTCTCTACATCTTCACCATCTCCTGGTTCATCTAAAAAAAATAAAAAATTGACCCATGACCAAACTTAGAAACTAAGTGAGGAGTTTGCCAAAAAGTGACATCAAGATAATGATCACCTAGATCTAGTGCAACCATATTCGACATTTCCTACCAAGCAGCGTGATAGCTGCTTAAAAATAAAACTAGGCCTAATCTAAAATATATCATAATAATATAAAGATGTCAACTAGAGTGATGAACGTGTCCCGCAACCCCCACCTCCATTCTCTTTTTAGACCTTCCAAAGTCAGAGAACTTGACTCAGTGAGCCAGCTAACTACAAGGGATCTAGATTCTAGATCTATAGTCTACCCTTGTTATGAAAAAGATTCTAGATCGTGCACAAAATCCTCAAACAATACCAGTTCTACAGCTGTAAATCTAGAATCTAATAAAAAGGTAAAAAGACAGATAGAACTGTCGAGAAGAACAGATAGAAAGGAGGAAGGTGCTAGATCTAGATCAAGGACTAGAATTTAGAGATCAGATGGAACAGCTGAGCAGTGGGGAAGGAACAGATTGATATAATTACTTACCATCATTAGAGTTGTCCTCATCACCACTGGAATCGTCTTCAGAATCATTTCTTTCGCCAAAATAGACATCAAACGCTTCGTGGAAAGCAACTGTATCAGTTGTGTTGAGATTCAACAGACGAGCTAATGTCTCAGCACTGTTTACATCTGGGTTCGCCACTTTGAACAGTCGCGGGCTAAGGGGGGTCTAGGTTGAAAGGTCGGATTCTTTTAAATAAAAACTTATTTTTTTACTGTAGTAGCGAACTAAAATCGATTTTAAAATGGATTTGTATCCTTAGAACGGTGTTATAATATTAAGAAAAGAGTTCCATTCGGTCACAATAAGAGCCTAAACTCAGCACTTGTTTTTTATTACAAATACAAGCATCGGTGAAGTAATTTCGATGCGCACAAACTGTGTGTGTGCCCAAGCTCTGAGCACTACTTTTAGTTCGACAGACAGGAAAATAACCTTTCCAGTGGTATGCAATAAGTGGGGGTTGTCTCAAAAGTACGTGTTATGACGAGGGGTTTAAACTGGTCGATGTTATTTTATAAACGTAATCAACCGAATTTGATTGATGTTGAGTAGGGAGGGTGGGTATAGAAACAATCAAAATAAACATGTTGCTAGTTTATTTTGTTGTTTAATATTCACATTACTGAAAGATTAAGAAGTTGAAGAAGATGTTAGTGTAAAAATCTCAATTTTGCCTTGGAAGTCGAAAATTACTTTAAGACAGCCCCTAGCCAAAATGGGTTCCGCAACTTTTGCAGGGTTTTAGCAGCGCTCCACACTTTTGTTGAATTTTTCCTTAACTTTTCTGCCACTCCTTCTCTTTTCCTTGAGGTTTCCTGCTGCTCCTGTCTTTCCGTTTCAGCTCACGCTGGGCACACAGAAGGCTGGTGTTCACACCAGTGGCTCCTCCCATACCTGTTATCATCTTGACAGAATAGCGGGGCCCGAAGTTAAATTCACTATTGCTGTAATAGCAGCAAACTCTAATTTGCACCTGAAATGGAACCTGGATTTGCTGCACCTTGCCCATATTGCATCGTGCAGACTTTCATTGTTATTCTGAGTTGCCTGCAACTGGTGTCGACTCCTGAGCTGCAGACCTGCAAGGTGGTCGTTTTTTGGTTCAATGAGAGGATGAATCTTCTCAAAGTCAAGGAAGGTGTGGATTTTCTCTGAATGCCATGCAGGGTAGACACTGTTTGCCAAGTCCTTATAAAAATAGGAGGTTTACTTTCCGGGAGGGCAGTACTGGTGCTGGGGATGCTCCTCGGTTGAGCAGCTGTGGTGTTGTCATAAGGCAAGAATGGCCGTCCTCATGTCCTCAGCTGTTGCATTAGGCCGGATGGCCCTAGTGTAGTAGTTACACAACTTCTTGATCTGGTCTGCTGTGAGCAGCCTTCTCGACAAAAGGAGTCATTAATCCCAGTTAGTGAAGCAAGGCTACTGTGAGGATGGAGGACACTATTGAGGTTGCCATGTTCACATGGAGGACAAATATATATAATGATGAACTCAATGATCTTTGATGAGAGTCAAGGGATGATTTTTATTTCATCTTGCTCAGGACACATGCCACAAGTGGTGTGCGGAAGTCATCTCAACAATAATAAAGAATAGTTAAGTTTCCAACCAAAGAGAGTGTACTAGTGTAATCAAGAGAAATAACTCAAAGAATAATCATACAAAAAGATAATACATACTATTAATAATAAATTCAGTTAATTCCCCTTGACCATAATAAACAAAAAATGTGATTTTTATTCTAACAGACACAAAATGTCCTTGAATTAACCCAGAACAAATGTGAAGGGTGCTGACAAAATGAATTACTTCTCGGATTTTGGACATTTGGACTTATGTACATCAAATTAAAGGGCTTTCCAAGCCTTACAAGTTGGTGAAAAAAATTATCTTTCTATCATTTCGCAAAAAGGGCCCTGAAGTCAATTTTTTGACTTACTCATATTTTTCATCATCATTGCCTTTCTCACCCTGCACCATGGTATAGGCCTCGGACAAACACTCCCCACTTTTCTCTATCCTGGGCTAGCCTCTTGATGTTATTCCATGTCTTCCCACTTTTCTGTACATCGATTTCTGTGATTCTTCTCAAAGTTCCATGAGGTCTTCCCCTTGATCTCTTGCCCTGTGGGTTCCAATCCAAAACTTTCTTCCAGTGTGTTTCGCTGACTCCTAGTATGTGCAGCCTGTATCTCTTCATCTCTTGTACTACTTGAGAACTCTTTCCTGCTTCATACAAGGTCCGAACATTCCATGACGCAATCCGGAGAGACTTGTTCGACAGAGAAGGTTTCGGGTCACGTACATGTGGTTGATGATGTAGTATCCAACTATTTGATCCATTTGATCAACGCCTTTCATGTGCCGCTGGTAGTCAGAAGGGCATCTCGGTACAGTGACGGCCCTCTGGTTCGGATTTCCACTTCGTCGCATTACAGTACCGGTGTCCATCGGCGAATGGAAGTTGGAGAGAACAAGAACATTCTTGGTGTCCATCCAGTTGCAGAAGGTCAGGTCGCTTAATTGCCCCACTCTGTACTGATGCTTCTGCAACTGGAGGGCTCTGGACAGCATTTCAGTGGGCAGGCCTTTCCTGTTCGCTCGGATGGTGCCGGCTGCCTGTATTTCCTTGCCCACCAGGTCCTCCATGAGGGAACAACTTGAATAGAAATTGTCCATGAAGACTTGTAAATCTGCTGAAAGCAAGAATGGGTGGGTGGTGTGGGAAAAGGTGAGGACTGGCCAAGGAAATGCTTTAAGCAAAATGAAAAGTCCAAAGGTGGCCACAGCGTAAGGAAAACAAAACACATAGCCATGATACTGATAGGAAGTTCTAAAATACTAGCGGACATCTCCCAGTAGATGCTCTTTTTATTGGAACGTAAAAGAAAGCTGCAATTTGTATAGCAATATACTCACTGGTGGCAAAAGAGGGCAATTTGTATAGCAATATACTCACTGGTGGCAAAATAAGGCCTTACGAGGTCCATGATGATGTTGTACGCCAGCCACTTCCGTCTGTCCTCCTGTGTCCCCACTCCATCTCCTTTCCGTGTAGACGCTGAATCTTGAAAGAAAAAAAAAAAAGAAAACCATTACATATATTGCATGTGCAAAGTAAAAATCACGAGTCTGAACTGGTGTCTGCGGTGCAGCGGCTAGACTAGAAGTTTCACTGCCGCAAGCAGAATACTTGAAAAAACATGCATTCCCTATACTTACCATTTGTTCCTGTTACACTTTAATTTTTTTTTTTACAAAGCGAAAATTTCTTTAGAATAAATTTTGTATAATATAAGTGTGTATTTTGCTTTACTTTACACAAAAAAAAGAGTTTATAAAAAATTTCAAATTACGTTTACGATAAAAAGGTGATGGAACATGGAAACATCAACATTTGGTTCAATTTTGTGAGAGAAAAAAAAGTATTTGAATGTCCTACCTGTGGAGGTAGCCCACACCTTGATGCCCCATTTCGTGGGTTTTGCCGGCATGTACTGGCGGAATCCAAGACATCCCTTGAACTTGACCATGGACTCATCAACACTGGCAATTCCACTCAGCTCGTAGACTGCGCCAAACTGGGTGTTGGGTCTTGATGAGCCATCTCACTTTCCTAAGCTTGTCTGGTGGATTGGACGGTGGAGCTGTGTTGTCGCTCAGGTGGAGGTACCGCCAAATCTGGTCAAATCTGTCGCTCGACATCACACGTTAGGAGTTGCATGCATGTTTCCCTTATGTTGGAAACATATTTCCCGTTTTCAATTGTTTGTAGATATGCTGGTGTGCTCCTCTCCTCTGAAAAATCAACAAGCTCTTCTAGTGACTTCAGTTCTTTTTCTTTGGCAGCATTGTCTCTTTTCAAAGACTCTACTACCACATTTGGTCTAATTTTAGACAGAATAATCTCAACTCTGTGGTTGAGCTGCCATTTTCTTTTCCGAAGCTTTAACTTATTATCTTTCAGAACTGCAATCTCCTTTTTAGCCCATTCAAGCTCTTCTTTCAAATTACTTGTCTCCTCGACCTGTTGCTGAAGTGCTTCTATTTTAGTATCTCGCCTTTTGATAAGTTTGTTTAAATTTCATACGTTAGGCCTTTTCGCCAGCAGGAGACCTGAGTTGGATTCATGAGTGGGGAGAAAATTTCTATAGAGTATATTAGTCCTTCTACTGGGATGTTGTATCCTTCTCAGCCCAAATCCAAATTGGCCCTGAAAGGCAGGGTTGGAAGCCTGCATCTTAAATGATCTAAATTTTGTTGATGGTAGTGTTAAAAAACGCCTGCACTGGAAAAAAAAAGTTTAGTCGTAGTGCGACTTTCTGCCTTGAAAGGAGCACTTGTATAAAGATATGTCATCACAGATGGTCTATTGTAGCTTATGTGGTCAGTTGTCATGACACTTCTGTAAGGGCATGTCCTAGGTGGAAACAAAAAAGAATAGGCCTGGGGAAAATTGACAGAAAAATTACGCTTGGATCAAAAAACAAATCTTGGGTCTGTCTGAATGAAATAGCACTTGCGTACACTCAGATCCATACATAATGAACATTCTCATCCAAGAAATAGTATACTCTGATTTTTCCACTCTTCGCTTCCATACATTAATAACAAAATGAATACACAACAAACAAAGCCAACTGTCTAGAAAGGCCTATGTATGTAAATATTGATACTAGCGACTTTAAATTACACAGAATCATTTTCAAAATTCTGCTGAAATTTTCCTCCTAGAAGCAGAATTTTTTGTGCAAGAAAAATATTAAACTTTACTCAACACTCCAACCCCCAAATATTGGACTCTGATCATTCTTTCATTGTAGCTTCTTGTAAAAAGTGTCTGTATCTCGGGACTTGGGTCGTTTTCGGATTAGGCAGTTCATGAGGATAACCTTCAACCACAGGGGCATGTCCTGAAGGCGATGACTAAGAAGTTTTGATTTTGTGACTGATCGGGTTTTTTTCCCATTGTTGCCTTCGTATATACTGTATCCAGTTCTATCTGTTCCAGTTTATTTCCAACACTAGGAAATATACTGGAACTTACAGATTTATACATGATACTGAGAAGGTGCTTGGAGTTGACAAAATGATTTGTCAGAAGGTACATGTATGTTGATGAGAGTTGTACTTGAGGTAATGACTGACAATGACATGAATTGGGTTGTTGTTTTTTTTTCTAAAAGGGTTTTGAAGGGAGTTGTACTTATAATGTTTATTGAATTAGTTAATGAAATGTGTATGCTTGGAATGTTGACCCATTTAAGGAATTGGAGATGGAGTTTGTGACTGTGATAGCTGGCAAGTGACCTTCTCATAATATGATGCTGTGAGATTGTGTGTGGTGTGGACCATGTGTCTCGACACACTCCATGTACACATTCATGTGGTAATATCTCGTCTCACCTGTATTTGCTCATTAAACTTTTCAAATAAAATGTGTTGTGCTCCACGTGCTGTTCTGACTCTTTCAATGTATTTTCATTTTTACACAACTTTTAGTTATGGCTACCATTCTAATCCAGTCATCCAGAGTAATGTTCCGATTGATCATGACCTTGCACAAATATGTACTGTAGATGCCTACAAGTTGAAAGTGGTCTAATCTTTAATTTCCATTGATGCGACTGTGACCGATTAATTTTTGTGTGTGCATGTTTATTTATCAGTCTATGATTTTTGTCCATTGGCTGAAGCAGGAATTTTTGGTGCTGTTTTAAATGGTGTGTCATGATAACGTAACCCTGATGATGCTATTTAGGTCACTGGTGTTTTGACCACTGGGTTTGACCGATGAAGGGTCTGATTATAGTGCTAAGACAAAGAACAACGTGGGTCAACTCTGCAGATCAATTTCGATGTTGAGCTGTGAAAAATTTTAGCAGATAAAAATCCACTAGGGTTCTCTTTGGCAGCTATTTTCTGTGACCTGAAGCTTTTTTTTTTTTTTTTTTAAATTAAGTTTCTGTTAATTCACGCTGGTAATTCCATTGTCTTGATTGTCTATTGATAAATTTGAAAAGGTAGATAAAAGCCCAACTTAATTTTCATACTATGAACAGCTCGCATTGATCGACCACAGTAGCATATCTCTTTGGCTGGCCTATTGACCTTTGTCTCACTCATAGTGTCAGTATGGTTAATACTGTAGGCTTTACTGAAGATATTGTCAGAGAACGAATTTAAAAAAAACAACCCACCAGAAGAAAGCAAACACTTCAGACTTTATTATGTATTTGTATTTGCTATGGAAAAATTGTATCTTTTTCTCTCTTCTGGTGTCATCGATTACTGCACAGTGTTTGGTGTACTATTTCAGGAAAAGAAATCCCAGCATCTATATATAGATACCAATTGTACTATATTAGACAATTTTGTCTTGAGGCGCAGTTTTGTTCTCAGGTTTTCAATTTAACTTTTACGCATTTTCGCACTTGCTACTGATCTGTTGTCCGTTTTCATGCTTGGGTTATTGTGTCTTACTGAGGACAAGTCCCCAGTGACCACCCACCAAGATGCAGGATCATCGTCATTATTAGGGAGCATGATGAGTTCACTTACCTCTCGGACATTGTAGCTCTGCTGTGATAGGGCTTTTGTGTGAAGGAAATAGCGTTGTTTTGTTGAGACGTTCAGGATTTGTTTTTTTTGTGTTCTCGTCTTTTCTTCTTCTTCTCTAATAAAAAATTTGAAAAGAATGAAATTAAGACAACTAATATTGTGTGCAAAAGCTGAGTGGAGGACTGTTGTCAAACTTGTGGGAATTGATTGATGATTTTAAAAATAAAAGGTATCCAAAGATGTAACATATGTTGGGATGAATCTTTCTATGAAGTATGAAATATTTTGCAATCTCATCATGTCATGAAATTTGTGGCAGGTTTATGCCAGTGTAAATAAATATAATGCATGTCATTGAATGATTTTGTTGTTGTTTTTATTTCCACAGTCTCCTTTATTGTGTCTTGACAAAGTAGAGTTAATGTGGGTGGTTTGCGGGTGCTCTAGTCTGGTTTGCTTTTTCTTTCTCTATCAAAAATCTATTGTCCTTATGCCTCCTCTTTCTTTTCTTCGTATGTTACTCTCTGGCAACACCTCTTATCTTCGGCACTTTACTTGTATGACGTATTTATGTCTTTTCTTTGCACATCACTTTCTAGTACTAACACCTTTAATCTTTGGCACTTATAGATGACTTGTATTGCAAGTGCAGTAAAACTCGTAGGATACGCAGTTGCGAGCGCCGTAAAACTCTTACTAAACTATGAACTCGTAGGTAAACTAAAGAGAGTCTGTCAGACGGTTGTTGAACGTGGAAATAATTGTGAGAGTTCAATTTCTGGCTTTAGAAGAACAGAGTTGTGTCCTTGGTGTAGAAGAAGACCATCTGTCAGTTAGACGCGATCTGCACGATCAGATCGGGTCAGGTCGATAAATACAGCACTAGGGCGCACTTTTAGAGTAGACTCGTGTTTTGCTTTATAAGACTTGACCAAGAAGTCTTTCTGCATGCAAACAAAAGATCTACCCCCTGTAATGCGAAGTAACCTTCTGATCAACGTTGTTTTCCTCAAACGTAACATTATTTTTTCACATGGTAACAAAAAAACCCGAACATGTTTGATTTTGGAGGATTGGTCAAAATACCTGAAGTTGCTTTTTGCCTGCAAAATTAAGGAAAGCCTGACTACCCTCATTTATGATCTATCAAATCCATCCAATGGAAATTTGATTAAACCTAACTGTGTGGTCCTAAGATCGATAAAAGAGTAGGCTTTGACCACCACCCGGGCAAAATTAAAAATTAATTCCTACAAAAACTGAAAATGCTTAAGATGAAAACCAGAAACTAGTGTCCTTGCCGCTCATATGACCTTATGCCGTTGCAAGAGTCGTAAAACTCTTACCAAAAATATTGTTAACTTTCTGCAGTGTGCGCTGGGTATTTGTTAGGTGTGGAGTCTTTAACTTTATCCTATTTTCCTGTTAATGGGTATGTGACGTACTTGGCAATCAGCCTAAATATGTTATGTGTAGGAACGTGCATAAAGTTAAAGCTGCAATGTTATATATATATATATATATATATATATATATATATATCCCTCAGAGTACTGAATAAATGTTGATTCTGAATGAACAAACCTACCAAAGATATTGAATTCGTGTGAGCCTCGGGTGTACACGAAGGTCAATAAACTCCACAACCCATTCGTTTTCTGACAAAGGGGAAATAAGCGTAAAAAACAGTGGCTTCAAAACATTTACTGAATAGTTTCCCTTATATAAATTTTGGCATCGCGTTTTAAAATTATTTTTTTGGGGGGAGGGGGGTGTTTTACGGCGCTCGCAACCTCATAATGTCATGAGCCCGCGGGACACATTGGACATTTTCAGTGGGTAGGAAATTTTAAATTTTGCCGAGTGGCGGCCGGAGCCTACTCTTATCGATTTTAGACCACCAAGGGATCTTTAACGTGCAAAATTTGCACACGGGGCCTCCGACTCCGAGATTTTTCTCCCTTGTCAGAGAAGGCTATGTGTAGATCAGGGGTGTGGCTGAAAGACAGCAGTAAGAAGGAGCCAAGGAGTAGCAGTAGAAAGGCTGTAGAAAGAGTAAGGGGCCCAGAAGAGGGTGCAAAGAAGATGAGGGGGTGGTGGCAGAAAGTGAAGATGAAAGCAGACGACAGAACATTGCTAGTGAGCAGGAAAGGAGGTGAAAGGAGAAAAAAAAAATTTTTCGTCGCTACTCGGATTCGAAGCCGCGACCTTTGAATGAGAGGCGAGCACCTTAACCAAAGATAGTACAAGACATCATTGCCTTAACTAACCTCTGGGCCACGAGAGTATCGCGTTTGACAAATTCTATTAAAAATATAAATTGTACAATAAATTAAATGTACAATGCTCTATAATTCTATGCGCCTTGATTGTTACAGTTTTTCATGTTTCTCCTCCC